ATATATATATATATATATATATATATATATATATATATATACACCACATCTTCTTTATCCATTCATCTGTTGATAGACACCTAGGATGCTTCCATGTCTTGGCTATTGTAATGGTGCTGCTATGAACATTGGGGTGCATGTGTCTTTTCAAATTAGAGCTTTTGTCCTTTCCAGATATATGCCCAGGAGTGAGATTGCTAGATCATATGGTGACTCTATTTCCAGTTTGTTAAGGAACCGCCATACTGTTCTCCATAGTGGCTGCACCAATGTACATTCCCACCAACAGTGCAGCAGGGCTCCGTTTTCTCCACACCTCCTCCTCAGCTTAAATTTCTGACCTTCAGAAAACTGTCAGTCACCCCCTCACATCCAGGTTTCCCCATCCCACATTCTCTAGTATCCCGTACTTTTTCTCCGTGGCTCTTATCCATTTGTAATCCTATTATTATTCAGTGTTCATTCATTCCTCCCCTTCTTTCCCATCTGCCTGAAATCTCCACAGGGTCAGAGACCCTGTCTGCTTTACTCACCACTTGTTTTCATTAGCACCTGTCTCAAAGCCCGGCAACTCAGTAGATGCTTGAGATACACTTGCCAATTCAGCATCAAGGTGTCTTCTCCACTGAAGTGCTGTGGTTAAGAGCTGGTGTGCTAAAGTTGGACGGTCCTGGGTTAGAATTATAGCAGTGCCACTTGTAAGCCGTGTGACTTTGGACAAGTCACTTAAGGCCTCTCTGAGCCTCTGTTTCCTGCCTCATAAGATTAATATGGCGATGAAATGAGAATGTCTATAAAATATTTAATGCAATGGCTGGCATACAGTAATCCTTTAATGCATGACAATGGTTATTATTTAAATAATTTTAATAAAAACTAAACCACAGGTCCCCAAAGTGTTACCATTGCTGCTTCCTCTCACCTCTTGGGTGAAGCAGGGAGTGAAACCACATTTTCATAACTGCTCAGACGTGGGGTCTTTGGAAGCAAGCTGTGATGACAGCAGTTCCAGCTCTGGAGGTGGACCTTTGTGTCTCCCTCTGCTACTCACTGGCTGTGTCACCAAGGCAAGTGGGTTTCTTTGAACTCAATTTGTCCTCTGTAAAATGTGGCTGATAAATATTTCATAGGATAGTTATAGGCATTGCATGAGATAATGCACATAAATACCTCGTGCTGAAAAGTTGCTACATTAAAATTACAGTCTTATTACAAACTTGGGATGGCTGAAGATGGCCCTGTGTCTCCTACCGTGCTTCCAAACTGCCACCTTCTTAATCATGGAGGGTCAGGCTTGAATTTGAAAGTTGGTTCTGCCTCCTACTTGCTCCATAGCCTCTCTGAGCATGTTTCCTTCTCTATAGAATGGAGCTAATACCATCTGGTGGCGTATTGTAAGGAGTAAATAAAAGAGTGAGTCTAAAGCAAGGGTTGGGGACTTCCCTGGCGGTCCAGTGGCTAGGACCCTGTGCTTCCACTGCAGGGGGCACAGGTTTGATCCCTGGTCGGGGAGCTAAGATCCCGCAAGGTGTGCGGCGAGGCCAAATACATACATACATACATACATACATACATAAGTAAAGCAAGGGTTGGCAAACAATTGATGGTGGGACTTGTAGAGTTTTATTGGACCACAGCCATGCTCATTCACTTATGCATTACCTGTGGCTGCTTTGGTGCTACAAAGACATTTGAGTAGTTGTACAGAAACTATACGGCCCACAAAGCCTAAAATATTTACTCTCTGGCCCTTCACGGAAAAAGTTTGCCAACACCTGACGTAAAGCCTCTCATTCAGTGCCTGCTTGTGGTAGGTGCTCTGTGAGCACGGTTGCTTTCGCCATCATCATCATCATTGTCTGGATCATTAATGCAGCAATCAGGTGGAGCATCGTTCTGGAAAGGTGAGGAAGAGGAGGTCCTGTGGGGAGAGGGCCTTGCTGGAGCTGCCCAGCACCATGCCATGCACAGAGCAGGTGTCTGGATGTTGGGTGACCTGTGTCAAAAAGACTATTGGGCTGGTGAACTTTCTAATACATCAAGTGATAGTCTCTAAACATTTAAATCTGCCAGGAAAATGTGTCAGAAACCTGTTTTCAGGGCTACCATGAATCTATAGAGTGCCTTTGTGTGAATTAGATAATGTATCCCTTCCTGAAGACACTTAATTGTTGTAAATAAATATACTGATTTTGTTAGAGCAAGATGCTTTACTGTTAGGAAGTTGTAATAAACATACAAATCTACCATGTATTCTCTGAACGGGACCCCTCCCTCCCTAGGATTGTGCAGTAAACCACCCACACAGCTGTACATGGCAGCCCTGCCTGTTAGTGGTGAACCAGCGTGCATACTGATTTTTGTATACCTGTTGACTAAAAGTGAGGCCCACTTTTTATGGACCTCCCCAGGCACAGCTATGACTTTGCCCCTCATCTGTGCTTCCTTGGCCTCCGTGGGCCCAGCAGGCTCTGGTGCTTCCTCACCACCACCTTTGGGATCCCACAGGCAGAGATGGAATTGGTCCAGCATATTGGTGTCCCCGCCAGTAAGATCATCTACGCCAACCCCTGTAAGCAAATTGCACACATCAAGTATGCTGCCAAGCATGGGGTCCGGCTGCTGAGCTTTGACAACGAGATGGAGCTGGCAAAGGTGGTAAAAAGCCACCCCAGTGCCAAGTAAGCTGAGAAGCACTCATGTGGGAGGCTGGGCTGCGTGTGAGGGCAGAGGGAGTGGGAGGAATGGGGCTGGGGCTGAGGACCCTGCCTTGGACCCGGCCAGAGTCACAGAAGGTTGGGGCAGGCACTCCTGGACTAGACCCAGGATGCAGAGCCTGAGTAGGACAGAGGTAGAAATGATGGATTACAGGCCAGGCAGAGCAAAGCCCACGGTACTACGGAGGTCAAAGTCACGGCAGAGGAAGCAAGAGGGGGTGGTTGTTTCACAGAGGAGGTGGCATTTAAGGAGGGCCTTGAGGAGTGACCAGCATCTGGGGAGGGCATAAACAGTGTGTCAGAGTGAACTGCGTGAGCAAACACATGGAGGCCAGAAGCAGCATGGGGCATTTGAGGGATAAGCAGAAATTTGGTGTGGCTGGAACATACCATGTGCAAGGGGAGAAGGAGAAGTGAATGACGCTTGTCACAGGGCAGGGACCCCAATGCACGTGGGCTTTGGGAGGGGTCAGGGCTGGACATCTTGCTCAGGCTGTACCTCTCACCTGGTCACTGGACACCCTGGGGAGCCAGGTGGCGGGCCACTCTAGTTCACCCAAAGCAGCTTCCATTTTGTCTGTTTTACATATTGGGGATATCGGGGTTCTCAATAAGACTGTGTTTAAAAAATGGTCCCCCCGATACAAGAGAAGTTGGAAAAGCCTGGCTGGTGTTAAGGCTGATTCGGAGAAGTGGGGCTGCCCAGAGGAGAACTGGTGAGGTTGGGACCAGGGCAGGGGCCCCAGGGAAGGGCCTAGGGACATTTAGGGAATGGACTGGACAGGACTCAGAGGGTGACTGGCTGTGCAGGGAGAGGAAGGGGTCCAGGGGCTTGTGGGGTTGGGTAGCTCTGAGCCATGAGGATTCACGCCTCTTGACTTAGAGAAGGCTTGGTCGGGGGCGGGGTGGGGGGGTGAGGCATGGCGCACCCTGCAGAGGTGCTGCGTGTCTCCTCAGGATGGTTCTGTGCATTGCCACCGATGACTCCCACTTCCGGAGCCGCCTGAGCCTCAAGTTCGGAATGTCGCTGAAATCCTGCAGACAACTGCTTGAAGATGCCAAGAGGAACCACATAGAGGTGGTGGGTGTGAGGTGAGTGCCCAGAAGCCCCGCCATCACCACCCACGCCCACTGCCCACTGCCTCTTTTCCCAGGACTTAATCAACTCTGTGTGAGACCTCCCTCAGGGTCTCCAAGGAGGGCCTGCCTGTCCCTGGGCGTAGAATTCTGCCATTTAAGAGCTTCCTCCCTTTGGAAAGAAGGTTTGGAGTGTCCCACTGCCCCAACCCCACAGTCTGCAGAAGGTCCTGTCCCAGGAGGTTCCAGGAGGGACCTGGCTTTGCAGGAGTTTTCCCAGCCTGAGGCCAAAGGTCATCCTGGCACACCTTGGCTGTGCCCCTTTTCTGGTAGGGGATATGGAAGAAGCAAGAACTATGGCCTAACAATATAGCTTTCCTTTTTTTTGGACTTAGGATGGCCAGGCATTCTGCTAAATGCTTCATGGACACTATCCCATAACTGTGGGATCTTATCCCCACTTTATAGATGGGGAAACTAAAGCACAGCATGTCAGACTGCTGAGTGAGATGTATATCAGATCTGACTGAATCTGGGGCCCTAGCCCTCACCCCAGAAGGCTCAGCCCCAGGGGCAGCATGGAGGGATGGGGGGGGCGCCAAGTGCCAAGGGACCTTGGATCTAGTCTCCTGTCCACTCCTCACTTGCCACATGGCCCTTGGCAGCCCATTTAACCTTTTATGCCCACAGTCACTACATCTGGAAAATGGGCACAGCATCCAGTGTGCTCGGTTGATCCTGGCTGGGGCTGAGGTGGTGGTACTTGGGCCCCTGTGTGTAAGCCGAGAATCTTCCTCCCTTCCCAGTTTTCACATTGGCAGTGGCTGTCCTGACCCTCAGGCCTACGCTCAGTCCATCGCAGACGCCCGGCTTGTGTTTGAAATGGGTGCTGAGCTGCGCCACAGGATGCACATCCTGGACCTTGGCGGCGGCTTCCCTGGAGTGGAGGGGGCCAAAGTGAGATTCGAAGAGGTAACCCTGGGATCGCAAGTGTCACACTGGGCTTGGTGGGGGTGGGGATGGGGGCAGGGAGGGTTATGATGATCCCAGGAAGCCCACTGTGAGTGGGTCCCATGTGCTACGTGCTGTGCTTAGTGCTTTACCTGGATTATTTTATTATTAACCCTGTGTTACAGCTGAGCAAACTGAGGCTCACAGACGTTACTTCACTTCCTGAGTCCATGGCAGAGCTGGCTGCGCACCCAGCTCTGCCTGACTCCATCCATGCACCTATTTGAGGCTTAACCAGGACACATTTGCATAAATCATAAGGCTTTCTGAGGGTCTGGGTGTGCCCTATTCACCCTCCGGTGGACTGATGAGAAGTCAAGTGGGCAGGGGAAGGAAAAGCCAACCTTCTGTCCACTCCTAGTCCGTCTGTCTCCTTCCCATCTGGAAGGTGAAATCAGGAAAAACGTGTCATTGCAATCCCAACTTAAACCACTAGGGGCCGCTTTTCCTTAGTAAGTGCCTGGTCCTGGAATATTCACATCTTGGAACTGAATTTAAGAAAATAATACGTGATGGACACTAAGAATTAGCTTTAAAGATGAGCATTACAGCATTCTTCATAACAGAAGTCCAGTGGACTTCAATAGGACTTCCAGTGCTATGAGTCCATATAGCACTCAGGAATTGGTTAAATTATGGTATATTCTTATGGTGAAAACATTTACACACATGGGGAGGTCATTCAGTTTGAGTGAAACGGTTTATAAAAACATATATACTTATAGCCCTATCATGTTTATAATAACAAAATCAGGTTTTTAGGTTTGTATAAAAATGAATTAAAGGAGCTACTCCACAAAGTTAACACTGATTAGGTTAATCTGGGTAATAGAATTAGGGGTGACTTTGACCTTCTTTTTCCTTCTCTGTAGTTTCTCTTAAAAAAATGTGTTATTTAGCATATTGGTTATTTAGGAAAGAAAAATCCACGTCAGGGCTTCTGGAATCTGAGTACCAAGTGTTAGATTAAGAGTGTCTTTTCCCATTGTAGGGTCATTGAAGGGTGATTTACACAAGTGTGAAGGTCTTGACCCAGCTCTGTCTCTGCCTACCTTCTTGTCCAGCTGTCCGTGGTTACCAGCTGGGGTAACCTGAAATCAAAGAGGCTTTCAAGAAATAGACTTGGAGCTGCAGTAAGTCTTCAGCATAAACCCCACATTTCAAACATGTAATTGTCCCCCATCCTCTCAGATTTCTTCTGTGGTCAACTCAGCCTTGGATCTGTACTTCCCGGAGGGCTGTGGTGTGGACATCCTTGCCAAGCTGGGGCGCTACTATGTGACCTCGGCCTTCACCTTGGCAGTCAGCATCATCGCCAAGAAGGAGGTTCTTCTGGAACAGCCTGGCAGGGAGGGTAGGTGCCAGGTGGGCAGCGGAGCCCCATTCTTCCCTAAAGCCAGGGACAGTGGCTGGCTGAGCCGGGTCTGATTTTAAGGGGTGGGGGAATCTGGAAAATGGGTCCTTGCTTTAGGGAAATTTACAATCAAGTCTTCTCACCCCAAGACACTCTTTAGCATCTTTATTTTTCCTATGCATGTTTATATTTTATGAAGATTGAGATCAAAGCAACCTTAGGGAGAATAGATGCTTTATTAACCCTATTGTACAAATGAAGAAATTGAGAGCCAGAGAGAATACAAGTGAATTGCTTAATTGCTAGTAAGTGGTAAAGCCTGCATTTCACCCCTTGTTTGTCTTCTCTCCAAAGTACAGGCTCACCCTACTGCTTCTCACAACATATTGAAAGTAATTAATGACAGCTTATATTTGTCTAAGCCCACTTTATAGATGACAGAACGTAGGCATGGAGAGGTTGAGTCACTAGCCCAAGGTCACACAGCTGATAAGGGGCAGTGCCAGGATTCAAGTCCAGGCTGGGCTGACTCAAGGCTCCTCTGTCCACACTGCCAACATCAGCGCTCTTCCCTGACCTTCCAGATAGATCAGTCGTCCCAGCAGCCTCTTGAGTGAGAGGTCTGACTCTGATCTTGGGGCTTTTTTCTCTGCTCTGGGACCCCCAGACACGAGAGCCTGAGGTCAGTGTGCTCTTCCTCGGAGAGGGGTGGTGGGCTCCAGGTGGAAAGTCTTCTGTGTGTGTGTGTGTAGGGATGGAATTCTGGCCTCCTTTACACATCTGGGGGATTATACTTTCTAGTCCAGCCAGGAGACCTGGCTTCTCATTCCAGCTCATGCGCTGCCCCATCGTGTGCCTCTGAGCAGGTGGCTTAACCTCTTGGGGTCTTGAGTTTGGGTGGGCTGCTCTTCTGCCTTTGCTGGGGCACTGAGGGGCTCAGATGCAGTCAGGGAGTGTGTCCTGGGCAGGGTTGCTCAGCTGTAAGGTGTTTCCAACACAGTAGTGAACCTCTTCTCACAGGAGGAGGCTGGCCACCTCATAGCTGAGGAAGGGGCAGCCCTCTTGCTTCAGTAGCTTGTCCCCTTGCTGAGCCCACCACAGTTCCAACCCCTCATGTGCTGCTTGTGCTGCCCCGCCCCCTCCCCTCCCTGCAGAGGAAAATGGTTCCACCCCCAAGACCATCCTGTACCAACTCAGTGAGGGCCAGTATGGAATCTTCAACTCAGTCCTGTTTGACAACACCTGCCCTACCCCCATCCTGCAGAAGGTGAGCCTACCCCACTGGGCCTGTTTTCAATTGGGTGGGTGCATTTAAATAACATTTGTGTGTGTGTATTGTTATCTAATTTTAAAAAACTAAAACATTCATTGTGGAAAACAGACAATAAGAATAAAGAACGTTATCACCCATAATTCTACCACAGAGACTCTTTGAACATTAGATTTCTTTTCAGTCTTTTAAAAAATGTATTATACTTTTTTCCCATAAAGTTGGGATCATATCAATTTGTAACCTGATTTTTTTTCCACTTAATATGGTGTGTAGCTCTTTGCGTGCCATTAACCAATCTTTGACAACACGCTTCTTGATGACTACATAATATTTTAGCCAATCTAACTCTAGTGATTGTCCATTTGGTTTCCTGTTTTTGAGCTTTGTGGGTCTGTCTTGACATCCATCTCTGATCACTGCTCTGGGATAAATTCCTAGAAGTAAAAATTCACCTTTAATGAGTTTTCCATGTTAACAAGGGAATAGGAATAGACAGAACATTCCTTCTAGCCTACAGAATCCAGCCCAGGGCCTCTGGCAGCTTTAGCAGGCGTTGTTAAGAGGGGAAAGGAAATCAGACACACTTGTAAGATTTTCACCCTTTGTGTGGTCTTGCTTTGGGAAGGAAACTTAAGTGCCTAACTAGTACCTAGACCATCATGAGCTTTCAATGTGTGTTTTTGTTTTTCTTTCCGTTTCCATGCTGACTAGTTTTTCCAGAGGCAATCAGATGTTAGCTCCTCTTTGTAGCTCTTCCTGCCCCTCCTCTACTGCTGGCAGAAGGAGCCCCTCTCTCCTCCAGGCGCCCCTACCCCACCCGCGACTTGATGGATATTCATTCCATAGCTGCCTTGTCTGAGTAAGCCTTCCCGACGACGTGCTCAGGAATTCAGTTTTCTACGTGATGCACTAGCATTCCCTGCAATCCTGTGGTCTCCCACATCCTACCACACAGAGGAAGCACCAGGCCTAGGCCAGCCAAGCCCCAGGCTACACAGCAGGCAGCAGCTGCTTCCCAGTTACTCTCCCTTCCACTCGCCCTCCCAGTCCCGGTTCCGCTCCCTTCTTTCTGTTGCAGGCCGTCCCTGGCCCACTCCCCATTCCCTTCATCAGTCCCAGCCCAGCCCCATACCTGCTCCAGGCGCTCTGGCTGATCAGTCTCTAGTTGGTGTTCCTGACTTGGGCACCAGGATGGTACTGACCCTCTCTGTGGTCTGTGCTGCTCCTCCTCTGGTGGGTGCCGAGGTTTCTTCTTCAGGCTGTCAACCGCTGAGGAGTCCTGCCACGTGACCATACCCAGGGTGGGGCCCGCGGTGTGGCCGTGGAGACAGACACCGTGTAGGTGACAGCACACATAGTCAGTTAGCTACAGTTGTGCTGGGAGTGTGTCAGAGGGACCCAGCCTGGCCAGGGTTATCTGCACTTTCTTCCCCAAGGAAGGTGCCCCTCACTAGCCAGGATGGCAGCTTTGTACCCTGCTCTTCATGCCCAGGCACTTTGTTTTTGGACCTCAGCGAGAAAAACTCATATTAAACATAATCCTTCAGGGTTTCAGGGTTTCAGGGTTCAGGGTTTTCCTCTCATCATTGGAATATGCATGGCTCCTTTTTGTTTCTTTTCTTTTCTTTTCTTTTTTAAAAATTCAACAAATATTTGAGTACCCTCCACATGCAAGGCATTGTGCCGAGGTCTGCAGAAGACAGTAGGTGAGGAATAATTGCCTGTGTCTTTGAAATACAATCCTGCTGGGTAGAAACGTGTGTGTGTGTGTGTGTGTGTGTGAGAGAGAGAGAGAGAGAGAGAGAGAGAGAGAGAGGGTAGTACACAAACTACAACAGTGTCATGAGAAAAGTACAAAAACTACAGAACAAATGTTATTGAACTTTTTTCAAAAATATTTTAGTAGTTGTCACTAAACGATATGGACTTAAAAAAAGAACACAGTAACATCACCAAACTAAACAATGAGCAGTTCCATAGTATCCCCTGTCATCTAGTTAGTGTTCAGATCTCCCCTCATAAATGGTTTATATTGTTGATTTTACAGATGAGAAAACTGAGGCATAGGGTGGTGAAGCAACTGACTCAAAAGTCACACAGTTGATAAAGGAATAAACTGTAGACCCTTGGGGGCAGAGTTCATGTCTTATTCATCTTTGATTACCTGTGTGCTGCCAAAGAACAAGCTCTTGACTATTGATACTTTCCTATAAAGTGATGGCCTCTCTATAAAATCATCGCCTCCTTGTAAAATCTCGCCATTGTTGGGCATTTGGGCATTACTAATTTTTGTTTATTCTTATTCATGTTTCTGTGAGTACTCCCTCTGCCTAGAATGCTCTTTGTTAGTCTCTTTGTATGCTGGCTCAATGCACATGCTTAAAATATATTCCCTTTTAAAAACTATTTTCTTTTCTTTTTTTATACATCTTTATTGGAGTATAATTGCTTCACAATGCTGTGTTAGTGTCTGTTGTACAATAAAGTGAATCAGCCATATGCATACATATATCCCCATATCCCCTCCCCCTTGAGCTTCCCTCCCACTCTCCCTATCCCACCCCTCTAGGTCGTTGCAAAGCACTGAGCTGATCTTCCTGTGCTATGCGGCTGCTTCCCACTAGCCATCCATTTAACATTTGGTAGTGTATGTACTGTCCGTGCTTCTCTCACTTTGCCCCAGCTTCCCCCTCCCCCACCCCCATCTCTGGAATAGGACTACCGGGTAAAATGATTTGAGCATTTTTATGCCTCTTGATACATATTGTCAGATTGTTTTCCTCAAAGCTTGGACCAATATTTATTGTTACCATTTGTACCATTTCACAATAAGCTCACCAGCATTATGTGCTGTGACCATTTTCTTCTTTCTATTTTTTCTTTTTATTTAAAAAATTGAAAAATTTTTTGGCTGTGTTGGGTCTTTGTTGCTCTGCGGGCTTTCTCTAGTTGCGGCAAGCGGGGGCTGCTCTTCGTTGCGGTGCCCGGGCTTCTCATTGCGGTGGCTTCTCTTGTTGTGGAGCACGGGCTCTAGGCGTGCAGGCTTCAGTAGTTGCAACACTTGGGCTCAGTAGTTGCAGCACGTGGGCTCTAGGGCACGCGGGCTTCAGTAGTTGTGGTGCGTGGGCTTGGTAGCTGTGGCTTGTGGGCTCTAGAGTGCAGGCTCAGTAGTTGTTGTGCACGGACTTGGTTGCTTCATGGCATGTGAGATCTTCCCAGACCAGGGATCGAACCCGAGTCCCCTGCATTGGCAGGCGGATTCTTAAGCACGGCACCACCAGGGAAGTCCATGACCTTTTTCTTGTTGGCTAATCTATCTGAAATGGTATACCTCAATATTTCTTTCATTCTTGTTTCTTTGACAAGGATAAAGCTTTTTTTTTTTGGTTTATTTTATTTCGTTTGATGTCATTGTCTTTTTTTTTTAAGTGATCCTTTTTTTAAAAAATAAATAAGTTTATTTATCTGTTTACTTTTGGCTGTGTTGGGTCTTCCTTGCTGCGTGGGCTTTCTCTAGTTGCGGCGAGCGGGGAGTACTCTTGGTTGCGGCGTGTGAGCTTCTCATTGTGGCAGCTTCTCTTGTTGCAGAGCGTGGGCTCTAGGCATGCAAGCTTCAGTAGTTATGGCACATGGGCTCAGTAGTTGTGGCTTGCAGGCTCTAGAGCGCAGGCTCAGTAGTTGTGGTACACGGACTTAGTTGCTCCGCGGCATGTGGGAGCTTCCCAGACCAGGGATTGAACCCGTGTCCCCTGCATTGGCAGGCGGATTCTTAACCACTGCACCACCAGGGAAGTCCCGTCAATATATTTTTATATCCTCTGTTCGCCTAATTTGGGAGGTCTTAAAGTTTTTTTTTTCTTGCAAATGAAGATGAGCCTGCATATGCATGTGTGTATGTATTTAATATAATATTTGATACATATATATTTTTTTAATCTGATGGTTTATTATTTTAGTTTTGTGATTCCTTGTTATTCTTTCATAGAAGTTTCAACACACTATCGTATATCTTAACTAAGTGTGCTGCAATTAACAGTAAGGATATTTGTCTCTAACTGCTCTGCGGGTTATAGATATATAACACATATATATATGGTGTATATATATAACAAATAGAACATTTATTGGAGAAAAATTTAGCGCAAACAGTAAAATAAAATAACCCGTTAATCCCACCATTCAGAGACAACTATTGTTAAAATTTACTTTCATTCCTGTTTTGTTTTTTTTTTTTTTGCGGTACGCGGGCCTCTCACTGCTGTGGCCTCTCCCGTTGTGGAGCACAGGCTCCGGACGCGCAGGCTCAGCGGCCATGGCTCACGGGCCCAGCCACTCCGCGGCATGTGGGATCTTCCCGGACCGGGGCATGAACCCGTGTCCCCTGCATCGGCAGGCGGACTCCCAACCACCGCGCCACCAGGGAAGCCCTCCTGTTTTTTTTTTAAGTGTCATAGTGCATGTTGTTTTTAACTTAAAAAAAAATTATATACTATGAGACATGGTTTTCTTTACTGATATGTTAGGTGGACTCTTTATTTATAAAAATTTTAAATGTTCACTGAGTGGTTTAAAATGACATATATTTAGGGTATAAAGATGCAATTCAATAAATGGGTATTAGCACTTCATAAATGCAAGGTATAGTTAGGTGTGGGGAGGTACCCAGAGGGGGCAAGTACCATGGGAGTTTTACGAGAATCTTGGGAAGCAAAACTCAGGGTACAAGCTCTAGTTGCCCCACTCTGTACAGAGACACCCCCCCTTGCCAAAATTGGGCTTTCTTACTTGTCATTGTATTTTATTCTAATTATTTATGGTTTAAAAAGTGTGAATCCGTATGGAATATATTGCAGTAGTACTTGTCAGGTCTGGATCTGGTTAGTTCTTGCCTTAACAATTCTTAAGTAATGATTTCTAACCCTTTTTTTATTTCTGCTTTGCCATACTGTACATTAATTTCATATTTTTTCAATGATCTCTAGTTTTTATCCCAT